CTTAAATATCTTGAAGTTTATGAAATCTGAACAGCCTGAAAAATTGGGAGATTCTTGCAAACATTTGGCATCTTTCATCAGAAATGGTGTTAGGTTTAAAAGGCCTATGAAAATGTTACTTATGTTGTTATTCTTGGTGGAAATTAGGCTTTATGTGCAATAATAAAGCAATGCTAAATTATTGACTTCCAAATGGAATGTGGAAATCATTTGTCCTTGTTCTAGAGGAAATCTAATGAGAAAACTGTTAAGTTTATATTAAATGATTAACTACATTTTTGGCTGATTTCTAGGAATTTCACACAACACTGGAATTTAAAGCATTTATGGGTCCACATATCTGTGGCAACTTAAAAGAATAGTGTATACATACAGCCTGAGTTTCAGTCAGCCTTACTGTGACTACTGGCAATTTACTTAACATTCTTGAACTTTAGTTCTTGAACTTAAGATAGAAATACAATGTCCTACCATCAATTAAGGTATATGGGATACTAAGTCTGATGTCTGATATGTAGTAAATAATAAATGCTACTGTGCTTTCATATAATTCTCTTTTAGTATAAATGTTATTTGTATTCTTGTCTAGGAAGCAAAAACAACTATCTTGTCACTTCTTGATATCCTCTAATAGAGCTTTGGTAGATATTCAATAATGCTCCTGAAATTAGCACCTGTGATTTAAGGTTAACTATCTGAACTTTCTACTTGGGTAAATCAGTTCCACTGGAAATACAATACAATGTGATTCCTAGCCTAAAACTTTTCTTGGCTTTCCCCCTCCTCTCCCACACCCTGCCACCACTTTTGGGGCTTGAATGCAAGGGTTCAGGCACTGTCTCTGAGCTTTTTTACTCAAGGCTAGAGCTCCACCATTTCAACCACAGCTCTTGTTCCAGCTTTTCTAGTGGTTAACTAGAGATAAAAATCTCATGGACTTTCCTGTCTGGGCTGGCTTCAACTATGATCCTCAGATATCAGCCTCCTGAGTAGGTAGCTTACAGGTGCAAGCCACTGGCACAGAACTTTTCTAGGCATTTTGATGGATGAGTCACCAATAATCAACAAGGTAACTCTATTAATATGCTGCTCTGGATTTGGTCCTGTATTGTACAAAATAACTGTTATAGCCAGCATTTTTATTTTGAGATTCTTCAGTTCTCATTAATCCAATTTCCTTGAAAATAAAATTTAATTTCTTTGTTCTCACAAAAATGTTTCCTGTTCTATTTCAAATATGAAAATTAAGAAAATAAAAAATAGTCGTATAGGATGAATAGTTGGCTCAGTGGTAGAGCGCTTGCCTTGCATGCCTGAGGCCCTGGGTTCGATTCCTCAGCACCACATAAGCAAAAAGAAAAAAGCCGGAAGTGGTGCTGTGGCTCAAGTGGTAGAGTGCTAGCCTTGAGCTGAAGAGCTGAGGGACAGCGCCCAGGCCCAGAGTTCAGGCCCCACGACCGGACCACCAAAAAAAAGAAATTGACAATTTAATTTGCATTTTAACAGCCTGGTTTTTGTTTTTGCTATAGAAAATATTCTTTCAAGTCTTGAAATTTTTAGCCCTTGAATTTTGTATGTATTTTATTAATGCGTCCTTTTAAAATAAAGCTCTTATATTACTAGTAAGAGGTAAAAACATTATAGTAATTAACACAATAAAATATTGTGGTTTCACATTTTCTTAGCTTTGTCTTTCTATAACCAAAGGTTATTAGCAAGCAAGCCAATTCCAGCTCAAACAGCAAAGTATTTCAAATTATGCAGTATCATTTGAAAAAAAACAAAGCTGAATATATGTTGATAAAGTTAAATAAAGTACTATTTATTAAACACTTGGAGTGAACATTTATTACTGTTTATTAAAGTAACATTTGAAGTATTCCTAAGAAAAAGCAAAGGAACAATGATTACCCATCAAACATTTTAAAACTGGCTACTAAACTGTCTAAATACTTAAAATCTGCTTAGCAGACAAGTAATAAGAAATTCTTATATTTTCAACCTAAACAAACTCAAAAGTTAGCTAAAATTGGGATATATTACATAATAATTTCAGAACATAAAGTAACAAAATGTTTGGATAGATGGATATAGTTAACGAAGCAAATTTTACGACCATTAAGTGCTGACATAAATAATATTCTCAAATTTTAGTAAACATGATAAACTTTAAATGTAATAACTTTTATTAGAACTGGAAATCCAATAAACTATAAAAGGGGCCTGGGTATACATGACAACTTTAAGGTTGAATAAGAACTGTTCTTTTAATATTTTAAAGTCTAACTTTAGATCAGTGTTGCCCAGTTTTGCCTTAATTTCTAACAATATCATGTTATAATTCCTTATATCATTAATTGGCTCCCTTGTTATTTTCAAAACATCTTAACTAAAATATCCTCAATATATTATAACAAACATAAAAATATTTTGTACCAGGAACAAAGTTGTCTTTTTTGTCAACTTTCTATAAACCACAAACAGGGATATCAACTACTCTCTAAATCTACCACCAGTAAATTAAAAAGAACAAGATTCGTTTTAATGGCTTTTTCTTAATCAAAAGTAGGTTTTCCACCAGACACTGGTGGCTTACACCTCTAATCCTAGCTACTTAGGAGGCTGAGATCTGAGGTCCACAGTTTAAATGCAGCCTGAGCAGGAAAGGCCATGAGATTTTTTACCTCCAATTAACAACCAAAAAGACAAAAGTGAAGCTTGCTCAAGTGGTTGGGTGCTAGCCTCCAGCAAAAAGCTCAGGGACAATGCCCAGGCCCCTAAGCTCTAGCCTCAGGACAGACCAATACACACACACACACACCAACACACACACACACAACACACACACACACACACACACACACACACACAGCAAAAATGCTCAGGGACAGTGCCTAGGACAGACCAACACACACACACAGCAAAAATAATCAGGGACAGTGCCCAGGACAGACAGAGACAGACAGACAGACACACACACACACACACAGCAAAAATGCTCAGGAACAGTGCCCAGACCCCTAAGCTCTAGCCTCAGGACTAACAGACACACACACACACACACACACACACTCTTTCTCTCTCTCTCTCTCTAGATGCTCAGGGACAGTGCCCAGACCCCTAAGCTCTAGCCTCAGGACTAACAGACACACACACACACTAAAGATGCTCAGGGACAGTGCCCAGACCCCTAAGCTCTAGCCTCAGGACACACACACACACACACACACACACACACACACACACACACTAAAGATGCTCAGGGACAGTGCCCAGACCCCTAAGCTCTAGCCTCAGGACACACACACACTAAAGATGCTCAGGGACAGTGCCCAGGCCCCTAAGCTCTAGTCTCAGAACCAACACACACACACACACACACACACACACACACACACACACATATTTTTTCATGTTTCAAAACTAGGCGATTAATTTCCACTGTGCCCAGAGCATCTTCATTTTAAAAGCCCATGTGTATTAATAAATTAAATTTATTTAGCAAATGTGATATGCAGTAAGACTTGCTCATAAAGGCTATTTGGAATTAAACACAATTACAGTATTTCCAGTGACAGGATATTCAGCTTTACACTTGCAAAGGATTCCAAATATGCAACAATGCACTAGTGTATCTTGTTGAACTCTAGTGAAGAATACACTAGATATCATAAGAATGCCTTCAAACTTTTATCTGATTGCTGAGTAAACCAAACTCCTACAGGAATCTATTGAAAAACGCATTTCAATATGAAGTTCAGAAGCAGTTTGACATGCATAATTTTATCATAAAGAATCAACATTTTTTATAGCGTTCCTAAATTCAGGGTTAAAAAAAGTTAAATGCCCACCTCTCAAAGATGTAAGAACGCTATTTTCTTTCTTTATGCCTGTTTAATCCTGCGAGTAACCAAAACGTAAGTATATTAAAATAACCCAAAATAAGTTTCAGTAAAAAAAAAAAAAAGAAATTTTAATCCAGAAGTACGCTTTCTAAAACACTTAAAAGTAATGAAAAACAACCCCCAAAGGGTACCTCAAGTCTCCTTCTACACCATAGAGACCTTAATTCAAAAGTTGTGCCTACATCATCAGATATTTAGCTAGAAATAGGAAAGAATAATATTGCTGCTGGACTTGGACACTTCACTAATCAAGGGATGTATTTTGTTATCTTCTACGGACGTGTGGTGCCTAATGTTTTCCTTTAATCGCTCTACTCGTATGTAAACAACCTCCATAGGCTCTTTTCTGTGCAGGTCAAACTGGAGGGAAAATGAAACTTTGTCGGGCAAGCGCCTCGGAACTTCCGGATCTTAGACATAACGAAGAACCATTTATCCCTATCGCTTGGTTAGAATAAAAGACAAAAAAAAAAAAAAAAATGTAGCCCGCAAATGAGACGAAAGAAAGAAACTCGGGAGTCACCTGAAGAGGGCTACGTTTTGAACAGCCTCCTTTTAAAACCACCCACAATAACAACGATCGGAGTAATAATGATAAAAAACCAGTCTGGGGACTTGGAAGTTCTGGGGGGCGCTCTTTGTGCACAGTCTGAAGGGAAGGGGAGGGACGAGGCAACAGCTTGGGAATCATTCAAAGAAGTTAGAGCGAGCGGTGTTCCGGGGGGGGGGGTAAAAGGCGGGGCGGGGCCCGGCCGGGTCCGGGCGGGAGTGGGCGGCGGGGGCCTCGGGAGAGGCCGGCCGAGGTGGCCTCTCCCGGGGACCCCCCGATCGCGGGTTTCCAAGCCAGGAGGGCGGGCCCGCGGGGCCGGGGGTGGGGGGCGGTGGTCCCTCCGGGAGGGGGAGTCGAGTTCGCGCGGCCGCGGCCGGGTCTCTCTGCGGAGGGGGACAGGGTCTGGCTCCCGAGTGACACCCCCGAGTTTCCGCGCGTAGCGGCGCCGGGGCGCGGCGGCCTCCCGGCTGCCCTCGGCGCCGGCCCGCGGCGGGTGTCCCCGGGGTGTCCGGGGCCGGCGCCTCCCGCCGGGCCGCGGCCCTTACCTGCAGCTCCGTGAGCAGGATCTCCCCCCGTTCGGGGTTGGACGCCATTGCGCTCCGCTCCGGACTCCGCACCTGAACGCCGCCGCTGCGGGCGAAGGGAGAAAGGCGGGACCCCGAGCCGCGGCGAGGAGAGAAAGAAGGGCGAAAAAAAGAGAAAGAAACGCTAGGGGTTCATGGAGGCGCAGCCCCGCAGGAGGCGCGGCTCACTCCGCTCGGGTCATGGAGAGCGGCGGGGAGCGAGGGCCCTCGGAGCGGCTCCCCCGCGCCGCCCGCCGCCGCCGCCCGCACCGGGCTCCGTCCGCTCAGTCGCTCCCTCCAAGCGACGCCGGGAGCCGCCTCAAACCTCTCCGTGCGGGGTGAAGCGGCCGCGGCTGCCGCTCCGCCTGTCGCACCATTTGGCTGTCACCGCGTCGCAAAAGCGGGCGCACTTGGCGGCTCCCAGCACACGTGACCGCAGCCGCCGCCGCCTCTCGCCGGGCGGGGCAGGGAAGGCGAGGTGAGGGGGGGCGGGGCGGAGGGCGGGAGCCGTGCAGGGGGCGGAGCGTCTCTTGGGCGGCGGACTGCTACTGGCCCGCCAAGGAAAATGAAGGGAGATGATTGGACTGGCGTCTCCGGGGGGGTGGGAAGAGGAAAGGGGGAACACGCCCATTTTCCTGCCGCGCGTAACGGCCGGGCGGTGGAAGCTAAGCCTCCTGCCCATCCTATGCACGCCATAGGTTTTGTTCCACTCCCCCCCACCCCCCCCACCAGTGCCGGTGACCAGGCCCCATTTAAACAACTCCTGTCTAACCTCCACCAGCCTCCGAGCTTCGGGACGCCAAGGTTTCGGACTTCCTTTCTCCGCCGTCCGAAGCCGCTGGTGCTCTGGCCCCCGCCGGCCCTCGCCCACGTTGCGCCCTCTCCTGCAGTAAGGTGCCCAGCTGGACGCTGGGCCGTGATGGTCTCTGTCCAAGAAATGCAGCCGAGGGTCGGTGCACAACCTTGTAAGGTGCCCTCTCCTGCAGCGCCAGCTCACGAGGTCATGAGCTGACTTCTTGGATTGTTCTAGAGGGACCTTTCACGGGAAGAGAGGGGGGCAGAGAAGCAGCCTTGGGGGGTTGGGTGGACGTCCGCGTGGTGGACGTTGTGTGTAACTTTAGGTTGGTGTGTGGTTTTAGGAAGCGAGCGTAGTACTAACGGGCCGCTGGCTTGGGTTTAAATCCTGGGTCGGTGTCTAGGCAAGCGCCTTCCTTTTGATGGAGGCTGAAGTACAGTAAGCTTGGTGAAAAGCTACCTGGAGGCACCAAGGGCCGGTGGCCCGTCCCTACCATCCTAGGTACTCAGGAGGCTGAAGTCTGAGGATCACGGTTTAAAGCCAGCCCAAGCTAGAAAACGCGTGAGTCTGATCTTGCGGACTCATTTTAGCTTACATTTGAGATCTGTGGGCTAGTACTAGAACTTAAGTAGAGTCTTTTTGTCTCTTCTCTCATAGGTGAATTCAACAAACATTACTTGAACACCTGGAATTTCGCGACACTTTCTGAACTCCAACTCAATAGTTACATTATTGTAACCCTATCACTTTTATAATAACAAAAGAAAACCCTAAAAGATAAAAAAATACGGACTCTTAAACTGGAAAAAGTAATTCCTTAAAAAAATATATATCATTAGTTCTACAAAGGAGTTGCCACTCAACAAAGTAGTTCATGGATACAATGAATCTTGATCAGTGTCACCCCTAAGTTAATGAATTGTCTTGATTGAAAAGTATAATTAAAATACATGAGCTAACAACACTTGGAAACACCAGAATATATAATTAACCTTCTGGTAACTAAGCCAGGCAAGTTAGACCCTGGAGTTATTTCTAGGATTAAGAAAAATGTCCATAACAAATGTGTGGGGAAACAGATTAGTGTCTAAAACAGCTATACTATGATTTCAAAGAGTAGGTACAAAATATTAGGTGGACAACTCTGTCACCGTGTATGTATGATTCTCTGTGTGTGCATATTTTTTATTATTAAGTTTTTATTAGAAAGGTGATATGCAGAAGGGTTACCATTTCATAAGTAAAGACATGAGTACATTTCTTTTTGGACAATGTCACCTCTTCCTTTCCTCTCTTGCAGTTTTTTCCCTCCTGTCCCCACCCACAAGTTACTCATTTTCAACAAAGTGTCTAGTGAGTACCACTGCTGCATTTATTCACCCTTTGTCCCTCCATTTCTGTGCCCCTCCTTGCTCCCCAAAGACAGATAAAGGAACAAATGAGACAAAAAGAAAAGAAAAAAAACTTGTTTTCATATCCTAGAGTTCAATATGTGTGCATAAATTTTATTGTAGTAAAATACACATAAAATGTACTGGTTTAAGTGTATAACTCAAGGAATCTAAATTCATGCTGATATATTATGCTTATTTTTGCCTGCCTTTGAAATAGATTTGTGATTGCTTATCTGCACACTGTGCAGATAAGTGTTGTTAGCTCATGTATTTTAATTATACTTTTCAATCAGAACAATTCATTAACTTAGGGGTGACACTGATCAAGATTCATTGTATCCAGCTACTACTTTGTTGAGTGGCAACTCCTTTGTAAAACTAATGATAATTTTTTTTAAGGAATTAGTTTTTCCAGTTTAGGAGTCCGTATTTTTTTTATCTTTTAATCTGTGATTAATCATGCTGCAATTAAGAATTATCCATTTAAGTACTTAGAAATACAGCCCAGGAGCATTCTTTATATAAACAAATTTATTTTATTTTATAATTATTTTATTTTTTTTGACGGTCATGGGGCCTGAACTCTGGGCCTCGGCACTGTTCTTCAGCTCTTCAGCTCAAGGCTAGGGCACTACCATTTGAGCCACAGTGCCACTTCCGGTTTTTTCTGCTTATGTGGTGCTGCGGAGTTGAACCCAGGGCCTCGTGCATGCAAGGCAAGCACTCTACCACTGAGCCACATTCCCAGTCCCATATAAACAAATTTAGATGTGAGAGACAAATGTTACCACCATTGAATTTTAGTAGAAGAAACTTAACTGTCTGGCCTAACTCATTGTAGGTCCAAAAAAGGAAACACAAAACAAAAACAAAAAACCATAGTTTGCTACTCAGGAGCAAGATAACATTATTACCTAGTGGTAGAGATGGAGACTAATCTCCAAGTTGCCACCTGTGCTTGTCTTAACTTATACCATACTTTAAAATAGAACCTTTGTTTAAACAAACTTGAATCATTATATTCCTTAACATATCTACCTTAAGAAAAAACTAAGCCAGGTGCTGGTGGCTCACACCTGTAATCTTAGCTACTTAGGAGACTGAGATGTGAGGATCTTGTTCTGAAGCCAGCCCAGGCAGAAAAATCTATGAGACTTCTATCTCCAGTTAACAACTAAGAAGCCAGAAGTAGAAATGTGGCTCACATGGTAAATCACCAGTCTTTAACATAGAAAGCCAAACTAGAGTGGACTAGACCCTGAGCTCAAGACTCTCTACCATCATGAAAAGAAAGACTTTAAAATTTACCTTTTTTTTAGTGCAAATATTCATAATGTATTTTTTTCTTTATTTTTTTATTGATATAATCTCTTTATTGTAAAGATGCTATACAGAGGGTTACAGTAACATGTGTGTTTTTCTTTATTTTTATACTGTGGTATATAGATTGGACCTTAGTCTTTGAATATGTTAAACAAGCACTTTATCATACCCCTAATATGCAACATTTTTAAAGTTATAAAAATTATTTCTAAGATTAGTTATTCTGAGAAAATAATATGACAAAAAAGGGCGGTACACATAATATAAAAGCTTTGAGCTGGGAATGGGTGGCTCATGCCTATAATCTTAACTACTCAGAAGGCTGAGATTTGAGCATCCCAGTTTGAAGCCAGCCCGGAGAGAAAAGTCCATGAAACTTTTATCCCCAATTAATCACAGAAAAAGCCCGGCACTGTGGCTCAAGTGGTAAAGTGCTATCCTTGAGCCAAAGGAGCTCAGAGACAGTACACAGACCCAGAGTTCAAACCCAGGACCAGCAGGGAAAAAAAACAAACAAAACTTTGCATGCTGGAAAATGCAATGGAGCGATAGGGCATGCTGAGACAAGACCTCACTATATAGCTCCAGTGGCTTGGAAGTTTTTATTGTTGTTCAGTCTGGCCTTACTCTAGATATTTCTTCAATCTTCTGTGTACTGGGATTACAGGGATATGCTGACACATCTGCAGAAATGTGATTGAGTACAAATTAGTTTAAAATAACACATACTACTTGGTTCATAGTCTTTGTTGAGGAAAAAAAGTAATAGGACATGTGTGGCACACTTAAAAATGGAAATGCATGTTGTATTCTAATTATTTTCAACTCTTGTTTACAAATGTCTTTAGCACATCATAAGTATAGGTCGCTCCAAGCTATATCCTACTTTAAATAAAGATTTCTACATTCAAACTAGGTGCTGGTGGCTCATGCCCATAATCCTAGCTATTCAGAAGGCTGGGGTTTGAAGGTCAAAATTCAATGCCAGTATTGACAGGAAAGTCCAAGAGACTTTTATCTTCAATTAACTACCAAAAAGCTGGCAGTGTAACTGGTTCAAGTGGTAAAGAGCTAGCCTTGAGCAAAAAAGCTCAGGTACAGTGCTCAGGCCCTGAATTTAAGCTCCGGGACTGGCACAAGAAATAAAATAAAAATTTTGTTTACATTTAGGATTAGTGTTTACATATAAGATGGTAAAGATCAACCAGTATGATGGCTCATGCCTACCTATATTTCTAGCTACTTGGGAGATGGAAATTGGGCCAGGGTTAGGGGAACTCAGGATCAACCCAGGAAAAAATTAGTGAGACCTCCCCCCAACTCAGTCAATAAAAAGCCTAGCATGTGGTGCACATAAGCCATAACACTTTCCCTACTAGGGAAGCATACTTATGATTGAGGTCTGGCCCAGCTCTGGCACAAATGCAAGGCCCTATTCTAAAGCTTCAGAGAGGGCTGGAAACATGGCTCTAGTGGTAGAGCACCTGACTAGCAAATACAAGGCCCTGAGTTTGAACCCCCATGCTACCAATACATAAACAATAAATAAATAGATAAAGGTCTGAAAACATCTGGTACCACCAGTCACACAGAGATCTTTTCAAATTTTTCATGGATAACTTTAAATGCCTTTACGAAGTAGAAATGATCAAATGTAAATTTTAAAAACTTTCAGTTACTTGCTAGATAATATTATTTCCTGTTTTTATTA